TCCTACAACTTTTGTTAGTACAGTTTGGGTAATATATTTTTAATATATCTTATTGATTTTTTTACAGAAAGGAAGGGAGAGGGATAGAGAGCTAGAAACATCGATGATAAGAGAGAAACATCGATCAGCTGCCTCCTGCACACCTTGTACTGGGGATGTGCCTGCAACCAAGGAACATGCTCTTGACCAGAATCGAACCTGGGAACCTTCAGTCCGCAGGCAGACACTCTATATCCACTGAGCAAAACATGTTTTGGCCAGTTTGGGTAATATCACTCTAGTTATTAATAATATCCTTTTATTCTTAAAATATTAATGTTTATTGCATATAATATTATTATAATCTAGAGGCCCGGTATATGAATTTCATGCACTGGGGAGAGGGTGTTCCCTCACCCCAGCCTGCACCCTCTCCAATCTGGAACCCCTTGGGGGATGTCCAACTGCTGGTTTAAACCTGATCCCTCTCACAATCTGGGACTGCAGGCTCCTAACCACTCGCCTGCCTGGCTGCCTGATTTCCCCTAACCATTCTACCTGCCGACCTGATCACCCCAACTGCCCTCCCCTGACAGCCTGATCACCTCCAACTGCCCTCCCCTGCTGGCCTGATTTAAAATAATTTATAGACTTTATTTTTAAGAGCTGTTTTAGGATTACAGGAAAATTTATTGGAAAGTAGTTTCCTGCCTCCTCTCCACATCTTGTTTCCTCAGTTATTAACTTTTTGTATTAATGTGACACATTTGTTACAACTGACAAACCGACATTGACTCATTATTATTATCTAAAGGCCATAGTTTAAATTAGGTTTCATTCTCTGTGTTATATGTTCTATGAACTTTGACACCATAGTATCATACAGAATAGTTTCACTATCCTAAAAATTCTCTGTGCTCTGCCTACTCATCCCTTCCCCTAAACCTTTTTACTGTCTGCATAGTTTTACCTTTTCAAGAATGTCATATAGTTGGAATCATACAGTTATTACGAAGGGCTCCAGAGGTACCCTGTAAAGGGACTTCAGTCATTAGTGTAGAACTCTGGCTTCAGGGGTGGGGGGAGGGGGAGAAGAGGCTTAAGGTTGACAAATGGTGGGGAAAAAGAAAGGAACTGACTACCTTCGCACCCTCTGCAGTCAACATGATCAAGGAGTTACACTGGGCTTCCCTTACAAGGTGAGTGTGTGCTCACTTCCTCATCAATGTCATCACTCAGGAGAACAGTTCTCTTGTTGTAATCTGAAATTTCTTGGGGAAATACATCTGCAGGATTCCAATGAGGTTAGGCGGTATTTGTTCAGTATCTCAACACCCCCCCTCCACCCCCATGGGTTAATTCTTAGAAGAAAATGACATTGAATTTGTATCAAATTCAGCTACTTTTATTCATCAAGTCACAATAGTTGAAAACACAAGGATATCAGAACATGTTTGCGTGATATCTATGCGTCAGAAAAAGGAACAGTTCAACAGGCTAATGAAAAAGGTTTTAGCTGTCCAGTTACAGAAGCAGCAAGATGTTGGAAGATTTCTCACATTTATTTGTGATATTTTAAAGATGCAATAAAAGTCATGTATTAATTGGGAGGAAATTATTTTTAATTATATAACTGAAATATACAGTATTCATTTCCTTCTTATTACTCCACTTCCTCCAAGTTTACCACATTCCAATTACTCAAATTTAGGAGCATAAAACAATAATAAACATTTAATATTTTATGCAGCTTCTGAGTGCTAGGAACTTGGGAGTGGCTTAGTTGGGTGGTTTTGACTCGGTTTCCCTTGAGGCTGGAGTGGAGGAGCCCACAGACATCTGAAGGCTTAGATCCACTTCAAGAGGCTCACCTGGTGCTGGTTGCTCCCCGGCTGCTTGAGTGTTCTCACAGCATGGGGACTAGCTCCCCACAGCAAGTGGTCCAGGAGAGAGAAAGGGGACCTGCATGTCTTCCATGGCCTCGCCTCAGCTGTCACGTCTTCTACTGGTTACACAAGTTATGGGGAGAGCAGGAAGAGAAGGAGACCAATCGCTGGGGACTATTTGGGAAGTAAATAACCTATAGAGCAACTCATGGATTTGTTTTATGTTTCTTTTGGAAAATTTTATATTTGGAAAAATGAAAAATTTAAAATTTTAATAAAATTAAGGTTAACTGATACTCACAAAGTAAGCAGTATTAAAACAAATCCCATGCCAGTTTGTAGCAAACTATCTGTGTATGAGGAGTTTTAACCCTCATAATAATGGAATACTAAAATTATTAAATATGAATATATAGTATGAGAGTTTAAAATTTGTGTAAATTAATAAATGTGCTTGAATGTGGGAATATTGCAGTAATAAATCAACTCCCACATATTTAACATCTCACAAAAACACCCTAGATTTATCACAGTGCTGGCTATGTCCTAAGTTTTTTCTCCTTAAAACAAACAAACAAACCGTAGTTTCCCATATTCTGATTTATGCAAGGCCTGGTCTCATGCATTTGACCTCGGGACATTGGTCTTCGGATTATTTACAAACAGATGATTGCCTTACACCAGTGTTGTCTTTGTGAGCTCCAAGTTGAGGCTCTCGTGGTTTTGCGGTGCCACGTCAAAGTGTCTAGGACGGGGCAGAGAAAAGATAAACACAGGGCAAGTTCCCTGCAGCAGCTGCCTGGAAGGTCTGGGACAGGAGCCGGCTGCAGGCACGCACACGGGTCACTCCAGCCCCTCCCCGCGGCGCCCGAGAGCTGTTTACTGTCCTGAACTTCACAGGGCGGAGGTATTGATCCCGAACGAGTGCAAACTTTAGAGTACAACAGTGTGATCATCCGGAAGAAAACTCACGTCAAAACACTGTGGTGTTTCCCATGTCAGAGGTACACATGTCCCGTGACCACTGGCCTTGGTTCTTCCCCGCCGCTGCCCTTTGCAATCACACACATACCGGGGCCCAAAGCCCATATTGAGAGTTCAGACGCCTCAGACATTATTTAATCACATCGGAAAGGGAATCTTGGAACAGAAAGAAAGTGGTGACAATGGGAAGCTGGGGAGACAAAACGACTCAGTCAAAACATCTGAGTACTTACTATGTGCAAAGCTTTATATTTCCATGGCCTGTATCATTATCAGGTATGTTTATATTTTATGTGTTTGGGTGGTTTTGTTTTTATTGTCTCCCACTTCCAGACACTGGAATGCCAGCTCCCTGAGGCAGGGATTTGCTATGTTTTGTCAACTGCTATGTCCCCAACATCTCCAAGAGCGTCTGACACATAGAACACACACAATAAATATGTGTTGGATTAATGAATGAAAGCACTATGCAAATATATACTAATAAAAGGGCAATATGCAAATTGGTCACAACCCCTCACAGCAACATTCAAACAGCAGGCTGCGTGGGGCAACCAGGCTGGCAAGGGGTGGGGGGGACTGTGAGTGGCAACCAGGCCAGCAAGGTGGGGGAGCAATTGGGGGCGATCAGGCTGGCAGGCAGAGGCAGTTAGGGGTAATCAGGCAAGCAGGTGAGCAGTTAGGAGCCAGCGGACCAGGATTGTGAGAGGGATGTCTGACTGCCGGTTTCAGCTTGATCCAAGGACAGTCAGACATCCTTCAAGAGGTCCTGGATTGGAGAGGGTCTAGGCTGCACTGAGGGGACCCTCCCATGCATGAATTTCATGCACCAGGCCTCTATAGGTAATAATAGAAAAACATGACTGTGTATGCACACATGCTGGGCTGTGTAAGGATTTTCCTCTTTAGATGACACTGTCTTATCCCATTTAACAGATGAAGAAACTAAAGCTCAGAGAGAAATAGTAGCCCTGGGGTTTAAATCCAGGTATTCTCTCTCCCAAGTCTTTTTTTTTTTTTTTTTTAAATCCCACCTGAGGATATATTTTTCATTGTTTTTAAAAATATATATATTTTATTAATTTTTTTATAGAGAGGAAGAGAGAGGAATAGAGAGTTAGAAACATCGATGAGTCACCGATCAGCCGCCTTCTGCACACTCCCCACTGGGGATGTGCCCACAACCAAGGTACATGCCCTTGACTGGAATCGAATCCAGGACCTTTTATTCTGCAAGCTGATGCTCTATCCACTGAGCCAAACCGGTTTCTGCTATTTTTCATTGTTTTTCAGTGCGAATGGAAGAGAGGGAAATAGAGAGAGAGAGAGGGAAAGAATGGATGATTACTTTTAATTTTGGGTTATTAGACTGCATACTGAGAGTCTGAACAAAATCTTTGCTGGTTAAACAAGAGACTGAACTCCTTTAGTTTCAAAAGAGAAAGGACACTTGCTTTCCCAACCTGAATAGCCAAAGGGACAATGATAGTTGCTGCAGGTCCCCAAATCCAGAATGGCAGATTGGGTGCTGAGAGTCCCAGAGATGGGTGCTGAGAAGTGTCAGTGTGGTAATGCAAACTAAAGGAGTTCTTTGTGAAGGGCAGGGCACCCAGAAGTGCTTTTTCCTGGGAAAGGGGCCTGTGCCTTTGAAGACATTGGGGTTCCAGTGGTGTCTGGTAAGGTCTTGCTGGCCCCTGCTCAGGTATCCTTAGGTGATTAAGCATCTGTGTGGAGCTGCCTGCGGAAAATCTCCTCTAGGACATGAAGTGGTCCTCTAAGCTAGGGAGATTCACAGCATGTGGCTCATCCAGAGACATGCATGTAAAGGCTGTTTTTTCCCTAGAAGTTTGTTCAGACTCTATAGATCGCAAAGGAAAACTAAAGTTAACATGGCAAGTCATGCCTCCAAGGCTAACAAGCCCCATGACAGTCAGCGGTCCATTGATGCAGGAAGATGGCTAAGATGAGGATGCTTTGATACTTCTAAATTAATCTTTCTCATGTACAATTAGAAAAAGTTAGCTATAAATTTAGGCAGAATGAAAGCAAAGCATACTTAATTGGTCTCTTGAAGCTTCAAAATTTTTAGATAAATGGATCACCTATGATGTAGTTTAGGCAGCAACCCAATTCTTTGAGGTATTAAAAACAGCTACCTATATAAGCAGCACTTATACTAAAATTGGGACGATACTGAGATCAGCACGGCCCCCGAATAAGGATGGCATGCAACTTCTGAAGCACACCATATTTAAAACAAACAAACAAACAAAAAGCAACAGCTGACCTTATTTTAAAAGGGGAACTTGTCAGGGACAACTGCAAATTTTGTCTTCTTATCCCAAATGCCAAAATAAAATTTAAATTCAACTGTGTTTTTTTGTTTTTTTGTTTTTTTTTTGGTGTGTGTGTGTGTGTGTGTGTGTGTGTGTTTAACAAGTTAATGAGTTTTTCTCATGGCTAAAAGATGTGTGTGTGTGTGTATTGTAAATGCGAGATAATTTTCTACCTCCAGATGGTACTATTAAAATTAATTAAATAAGTTAAAATTAATTTATTTAAAGGCAAGCCCTTATAAAGATTGAGTATTCTAAAAGTTCTCAGAAATTAGAAACTAACTGAAAACCTTTTCAGACCACATGCTCTAAATTTAATCCTAAATTAATGAAAGCTAGTTTAAATTTGTTGGTTTAAGTAAGACAGGCATGTCTTTATTTTACCTAGGTTTAAAAAAAAAAAAAAAAAATTATCATTAATTGCTGAACATAATTTACCTTCATTTGGCTTCTTATTACAAAGAACTGAAAAGAATGCCAATTGCTTACTTCTTAGTTTTCCTTAGAAATTGAGATTTTAAAAGTTAAAAATCTCAGTAAACTTGGGATAACTTTGCAGTGTTCCAGAGGGCCTCTGAAACACAACAGATTTGCTTTTATGTTAAATTGCATGGGAAGCATTATTTTTAAAATGATTAAAAAAACAACAACAACAAAAAACCTCCTAGCGTAGATTATATGGGTAAACATTGGTTGTAAAGTAGATGAATGTCAGGACTATGGGCAACCCAGGACGGCCCCTTGGTTCTTCAATGCTCCCTGGCAAACCCCATTTTTCAGTTTTTGCTTTCCTTCATACATCATAGTGCTTTAAGGCTGAACTTAAATTATATGAAGGAACTCAGGAGCTAACAATATTATAAGGAGAAGCAAGCATATCAAGCTTGCAGCTGGTGGGCCTGTGAGTTTGACATGCTTGTATACATTATTGTCAAGGTTTGATCAAGTCATTTCAAGAAAATGACAAATTAGTATTGCTTCCTTTCACAGTGAGCTCCCAGGAGGCAAAAACTTAAAGGTCATTGATTGGCACCAAGATATTTTGTTTATTGGAAGGAACATAAAATAAGACATTCTCCAACCTCATTGAAAGGGACCTTAGGCCCCTAACCGTGAATGGACATCCACCCCTGTCTCTGAGACTCACCTCCACCTACAACTCCTTCAAAGACTCCTCAAGGGTGAGTAGCTACTGACAACAGAAGTAGACACCTACCCAAGATGTTGCCAGGCCTGTGTCCTTACAGACTGATAGTGAATTCAGAAACTATTTAATTTTCTTTGTCTGTCAGCTAACGATATTCATTATAAAAATTATACTTGCACCAAAACTGGTTTGGCTCAGTGGTTAGAGCTTTGGCCTGCGGACTGAGGGGTCCCTGGGTTCGATTCCAGTCAAGGGCATGTACCTTGGTTGCAGGCACATCCCCAGCAGGGCGTGTGCAGGAGGCAGCTGATCAATGTTTCTCTCTCATCGATGTTTCTAACTTTCTATCCTTCTTCCTTCCTCTCTGTAAAAAAAATCAATAATATATATATATATTTTAAAATTATGCTGCTCTTTGGTCCAATATTTCCAATCTTCCCCAAAATCAGGACTTTTTTTTTTAAAACACCCCAGGATGCAAGAAAAATTGTTTGAAATCGGGACTGTCCCGCCAAAAGCGGGACGATCTGGTCACCTTATCTTTGGGTTTTTCTATATAGACCAACTGCTTATGATTACTGAACATGTATAAGATGTAAGGTTTGAGGCGCAGGAAATGAGTCAAAGACCACCAAGGCATATTAAAGGAAAGTTTGTTTCCCAGTAATGAGCGGGACTCATTACAGAGGTAGAGATATCAGAATTATAGGAGGGGGGAGAGGAGAAAGGAGGGACCCAACTAGGCTGATTTCACAGACAGAGAACAGCAGCACATGGAGGGGTGGGGGAGCCTTTTAAGGGGGAGAAACAGGAAAGAGTTGGACCCAGGGCGGAACAGGAAGGGGTGGGCTCCAGGGCACTTGGGCACTCGCTGACTGGTGGTTCAATGTCTTAAGGATGTCTCTGTGGCAGATGCCAGTAATGTCATAACTCCCCACACCAGTTGGGGGGAGGGAGGATCTCACATAAGATACCATTAATACTCTGTTTATGATTTATATAAATGTTATACTAGATGCAAAATACAAAACACACACAAATTAGGCTGATGGCAAAACTCAGATCATGATAGCTCACAGGATAGAGTGTTTATTCTCAATGATGGCCATAAACCCTGACTGCTTTCCATTTACTTACCTTTCTCTCTTGGGAAAATTGGGCCTCAATTCACATGCCATAATTACGCTATTGTTCCATCCCCAGTGGTCCATTATTTCAACCAGACAGCTTTGATACCAAGAAGTCCTAGGAATGAGGCTTCCCAGTGCTGTGAAATCATACTATCCAACTTAAGGGCTGGTCATCAGTGCATTCTTCTGGTTGATTTATGACCAAAAGGGAGACTTGTGGAAGCAAAAGCAATGCTGTAATAAATCATAAATACCTAACTGGGCAGGTCATGGTGGGTAGTCACCCCCCAGGCCCATAAAAAGGTTTATCTTTGTCTTAAACAAGCCCTGACCATTTTTCTTGTGCATCTAAACCAAAACACCTTTGAAATGCCAGAGTAATTCTCTTTTTCACACTCTTTAGAGAAAGGGGTAGCCACACCCAAGGGAGCACATAGCACTGTCAACTATTCTTGCTTTCTGCCTCCTTTATGTCATCTTCCTTACATTCCCCCTGAATTTTAAATGTGTAAAGACCACTACAAAACTATCATTCTCCAGAGCACTTGAGATCTTGCTCCCCAGCATGTTGTCAATTTGGCTCAAATAAACTCATAAAAATTCCCTATAGGTTTGGATCTTTCTTACATTGACAATGGTGATCATGGTGAAGATGATAGTGATGTTGTTTTGCTGTGGGGTCTTTGCTCAAACAAAATGTGTTAAACAGAAAAATGCAGTTTCTCAGCTAGGTTTGGAGCCTCGTGCCTGGGGCCCTGCTGGCATAGCTCACATCTGCCCAAGGGGGGAGCTCTGCAGGAAATCACTTCCTGAATAGAGGAGAGGGGCATGGAAAAGTGGCTCAAGTCAATTTATGTCAAGGTGAGGAGTTGGACTAGTTGGTAGATGTACATAGTTGGTGTCAAAGCAGGGATCAGGTAAAATCCCTCCACCAGGCTGTGCCAATGGCCTGGAGGGGGGTCATGCTAGGTGACAACAGTGCTATGAAAAATAAAGAATGAGCCTCAAAACCACTACTACAAAAGGGAGAATGGGCACGGAAATAAAATCAAGCAGCCAAAGGTAGCCAATGAGAGGGAAGAGTCAGGTGTTGTAATGAATCCAGTTTTTTAGATGTTGAATCCTTCCATTGCTTTTTTAGATTACGATGAAACATATGTAAAAAATTTTATCTACAATTGCTTTTTATTTTTCTTAAATATATTTTATTGATTTTTTACAGAGAGAAAGAGAAAGGGATAGAGTTAGAAACATCAATGAGAGAGAATCATTGATCAGCTGCCTCTTGCACACCCCTACTGGGGATGTGCCCGCAACCAAGGTACATGCCTTTGACTAGAATCGAACCTGGGACCTTTCAGTCCTCAGGCCGACGCTCTATCCACTGAGCCAAACCAGTTTCAGCTACAATTGCTTTTTAAATTTTACTATTTTATAAAATTAAAAGATATTTGCACAAAATAAAGAATTCAAACAGTACAAATAATCCACAATGAAAAGTAAGTTCCCTTCCCACCTCAGATCCCCAGTCCCTTTAGTTCCACTGCCCAGATCCTTGTTCACAGGATACTTCCAGAAATGTATCAGTTGTCAACAAGCAGTTATGTTTTATATATATTAATCTTTTTCACATAAATATTCTGCCCTTTGTTTATTGTTTGTTTGTTTGTTTCCCACTGAACAAGCCAAACAGGTTTATTCTTTCGGAGGAAGTTGATGAAAAGGAGAAAATTCGGAATTGTGAAGTTCAGAGTACCTGCCATGTGACTGGAAGAAAGGCTGGCAGGGATGAAACAGTGAAGCTGTGGAGTTAGACCTTGAGCCAAATGCTGGCTCTGCCACCTTGGGCACACTCTTTGACCTAAACCACAAGTTTGTATTTTTTTTTTTAATTTCCCACAGTGTCATGGTTCTCAATGGGGGAGGAATAAACAAATCTTTTGAATCTCTCCTGGTTTGCTTTCTCCACTTTAGCGAGTCAGTTGTATAAGTCTTAAAGTTCCTTGATCCTATTAGAAGGCACTCATATGAAAGCAAAATGAAGCAGGCAAATTGGGTCATGTTTTTTTTCAAATTCATTGAAATTTATTCAATTACCATATTTCAGTTGATTCATGGGGCCAAAAATGCAATAGAGTTCGATCCACTCAAGTTATAAGGCATTTTTTTGGAAATTTACATTGCTGAAAAATCACTGTGACTTTAGTTTAAGCAAGCCAAGCTCTTTCAAAAACAAACAACCCCCCCCCAAAAAAAAACCAACACACAACAACAAAAAAACACACAAAAAAAACAAAAAAAAACTGAAGAAGAGGTAGGAAAAGTGTTTTTAAAATGCTTCTATTCTTTTAAATTTTTTTACAATTTATATATGGTGGAAAGGGTTTTCCTCTATCCTCTTAGGTTCTGTAACTGGACCTGAGAATTAAAATGGCAAAAAACAGAGTAACAGGAAAAAATTCAGATTTTATGTCAGGTTAATATTGAAGGTAATAAAGGCCTTCATAATAAGCAATAAAGACCCAAAGAAATAGACAGGCCTGAGAGCTCATATACCATTTCAACAAAGGAAGATAAGTTGTGGGGATATGACAAGACAAAAGAAAAGTGGGTCTGAGCTAAGGGTGGTAAACTGTGGGAAA